TCTTTATTACTGGCCCCCGGTACTGGTCTTTATTACTGGCCCCCGGTACTGGTCTTTATTACTGGCCCCCGGTACTGGTCTTTATTACTGGCCCCCGGTACTGGTCTTTATTACTGGCCCCCGGTACTGGTCTTTATTACTGGCACCCGGTACTGGTCTTTATTACTGGCACCCGGTACTGGTCTTTATTACTGGCCCCCGGTACTGGTCTTTATTACTGGCCCCCGGTACTGGTCTTTATTACTGGCCCCCCGGTACTGGTCTTTATTACTGGCCCCCCGGTACTGGTCTTTATTACTGGCCCCCGGTACTGGTCTTTATTACTGGCCCCCCGGTACTGGTCTTTATTACTGGCACCCGGTACTGGTCTTTATTACTGGCCCCCCGGTACTGGTCTTTATTACTGGCCCCCCGGTACTGGTCTTTATTACTGGCCCCCGGTACTGGTCTTTATTACTGGCCCCCCGGTACTGGTCTTTATTACTGGCCCCCAGGTACTGGTCTTTATTACTGGCCCCCCGGTACTGGTCTTTATTACTGGCCCCCGGTACTGGTCTTTATTACTGGCACCCGGTACTGGTCTTTATTACTGGCCCCCGGTACTGGTCTTTATTACTGGCCCCCGGTACTGGTCTTTATTACTGGCCCCCGGTACTGGTCTTTATTACTGGCACCCGGTACTGGTCTTTATTACTGGCCCCCCGGTACTGGTCTTTATTACTGGCACCCGGTACTGGTCTTTATTACTGACAAGACCATCTTGTGTGGTTCAAGAAATATAGATGACTCCATATGTAGGGAGGAGAAAAGCTCGGCCCCTGGCAGCAGCTGACTAAAGACCTACGTCAACCCACAACGTTGTGGTATCAGCGAACAGCAACAAATAATGTACAAATAATTCCAGACATGCTTAAAACTGTGCAGATACTCCCACTTCCTCAAAGGAGGTAGTAAAGCTGATACAAACTAAGTACAAGGCAATAGCCTTAACATCACACATCCAACCCGTTCTCGCAAATTTAATAAGTCAATATTGACTTATTGTGTGCATAGGTGACATACTAAACATAATAGTTTCCCTTGAAAAGCTTCATAGAAAACACCGACCTTACCTAACCTACTTAGTATGTTAAAATAAGCCAACCCGTTCTCGCAAATTTAATAAGTCAATATTGACTTATTAGTTGTGTGCATAGGTGACATACTAAACATAATAGTTTCCCTTGAAAAGCTTCATAGACAACACCGACCTTACCTAACCTACTTAGTATGTTAAAATAAGCATCTTATAGCTTCGTAATTACAATTGTTACTTAACCTATTATAGGTATAGGTTAGGTAATAATTGTTATTACGAAGCAATAAGATGCTTATCTTAACATACTAAGTAGGTTAGGTAAGGTCGGAGTTTTCTATGAAGCTTTTCAAGGGAAACTATTATGTTAAGTATGTCACCTATGCACATATTTAATAAGTCAATATTGACTTATTAAATTTGCGAGAACGGGTTGCTACATCATAGCTGCCATGGAAGACAAACAGATCTAATATACAAGGAGTCCGCGAAAGCTTTCGATAATGTGGGAACTTGGTGCTACCGCACACAAAATGTTCACAACAGGAATTACTGGCAAAGTACGGAGACTCATCTTTAACTTCCTAACCAACAGAGCCTTCAGTCTAAGAGTCAACACAGTCAAATCCGGATCATTCAAAGTGAGAAGCTCAGTCCCGCAGGGTGCTGTGCATTATCTTATACTGTGCATATAATCTCTATCTCAACAATGACCACCCCAGTCTGCACCACCTGAACAATTATCACCCCAGTCTGCACCACCTGAACAATGACCACCCCAGTCTGCACCACCTGAACAATTATCACCCCAGTCTGCACCACCTGAACAATGACCACCCCAGTCTACACCACCTGAACAATGACCACCCCAGTCTGCACCACCTGAACAATTATCACCCCAGTCTGCACCACCTGAACAATGACCACCCCAGTCTGCACCACCTGAACAATTATCACCCCAGTCTGCACCACCTGAACAATGACCACCCCAGTCTGCACCACCTGAACAATGACCACACCAGTCTACACCACCTGAACAATGACCACACCAGTCTGCACCACCTGAACAATGACCACCCCAGTCTACACCACCTGAACAATGACCACACCAGTCTGCACCACCTGAACAATGACCACCCCAGTCTGCACCACCTGAACAATGACCACCCCAGTCTGCACCACCTGAACAATGACCACCCCAGTCTGCACCACCTGAACAATGACCACCCCAGTCTGCACCACCTGAACAATAACTACACCAACCTGCACCACCTGAACAATAACTACACCAACCTGCACCACCTGAACAATAACTACAACCTGCACCACCTGAACAATAACTACACCAACCTGCACCACCTGAACAATAACTACACCAATCTGCACCACCTGAACAATAACTACACCAACCTGCACCACCTGAACAATAACTACACCAACCTGCACCACCTGAACAATAATTACACCAACCTGCACCACCTGAACAATAACTACACCAACCTGCACCACCTGAACAATAACTACAACCTGCACCACCTGAACAATAACTACACCAACCTGCACCACCTGAACAATAACTACACCAACCTGCACCACCTGAACAATAACTACAACCTGCACCACCTGAACAATAACTACACCAACCTGCACCACCTGAACAATAACTACACCAACCTGCACCACCTGAACAATAACTACACCAACCTGCACCACCTGAACAATAATTACACCAACCTGCACCACCTGAACAATAACTACACCAACCTGCACCACCTGAACAATAACTACACCAACCTGCACCACCTGAACAATAACTACAACCTGCACCACCTGAACAATAACTACACCAACCTGCACCACCTGAACAATAACTACACCAACCTGCACCACCTGAACAATAATTACACCAACCTGCACCACCTGAACAATAACTACACCAACCTGCACCACCTGAACAATAATTACACCAACCTGCACCACCTGAACAATAACTACACCAACCTTCACCACCTGAACAATAACTACACCAACCTGCACCACCTGAACAACTACCATCCCAGTTCACCACCTGATCACCATTCTAGCCTCATTCCACCTGAATCTAAATTGTCATCTAAATCTTGAATTCTAAATCTAAATTCTCGATGCTGGACCAGTCCAGCAACGAGGAGGCCTGTGTAATTTTTTGTGTAATATTATACATTATTTGCATAGGCCTAGCCAGCAATGAACTACATTCAGGCTCACTAAATGATGAGAGTCCACTGGCAAAGGCTAATTTTTTATGGGAATGAATTCTCTATTATTGTACTTGCTTCAACCTTCAATTTTGTAACATTGTGCGAGTTATGCACAAAAATTAAACATAAAAAGTATATAAATATACAATAAAAAGCGTCTTATAAAATATATGTCAGGCTGCGATCATCCAACAGCCTGATTGACCAGTCCAGCAACGAGGAGGCCTAGTCGAGGATCAGGCCGTGGGGACGCTAAGCCCCAAAATCATCACAAGGTAACCACAAGGTAGGGTACAGTACTTGGAAAATATACAGCAACTTCTCTACAATGTTCCTGTTATCCTCGTTATCTTTACGACAATTGTGACTGTTACACAGTCATCCTCGTAACAGACAGACAGGTACCATCAAGCCATCCACTCATAATTGATGGTACCAGAAACAAGTTCAACGAGCCACTGAGGGCTGCCTCCCAGAAAACAAAGAGAACCGACTTATCTAGGCCTAAAGTCCTAACCACACATATCCTAACACTAAATTAACATATCTTAGGCCAAATATTGTCCACATATGCACTGTGTTAGGCCAAGGTTACAGTATGTTTGGATAGGCCCTAGATAGGTTGGCTTGGTGGTGTCTTATTTTGAGCCACTTTCCCATACTAACCATGAAATATTTTCTCCTTACTCTTGTACATTTTCTTGGATACAATTACACTTATTTAATGTCAAGTTTCATACCATACTTCTACTTTGTCTTCAGCAGGCATCTGCAAAGTACTACTTTTTAACTTCCAAGACTTTTGTAAAATCTAAATATATAATTTACATGCAACATGTTCTCTTTCCCGGCTGCAATTCATACATCAAGCTGCGAGCAGTTGCATGTAACAGCCTGGTTGACCAGACTACCTTACATTACTGCCAGCATTGCTACACGAGGTACAGGCAAAAAGATGATATCTGCACCATGTGCAAAATTGGTTAACATGTGTGAACAGCATTTAAAGGCAAAAATGTTACACAGAGAATATGTAAGGTCGGTTCTAGACTGTGCCTGTGTGGAATCACCATTCTTTAGGTTTCTCTTTTTTATATTTTTAGCAAAGTCCAGTACCAGAGATATGAGAGTGGGTTTATGAGAACATATTAAGAAAATCCAACCTCAACACAATGAGAGAGAGAAAGACTAGAGATCATATGATCAGAATGCAATAGATACCAAAGGAAATGTGTAGATGAAATGGATAAGATGGTCTTTTTCAGATGGGGGGTCTCCAGAACAAGATGACATACACACTGTATCAGGAAATACTAAAGTTCCAGACACAAAAATCCAGCTAATATATAAAGTCCCCTGGAGCTAAATCTACTTCCCCAATAACACAAGTAAGGACATCAGTCAGTCTCCTTCACCATATTCACTCCTCCACCTCTGTAGCATCCTTCATATCTCCTCCATGTAGTACTGTATTTACTTTCTCCTCCTCCTCCTCCTCCTCCATCTCTCTCTTTCAATACACAATTATATTCTTAAAAACAAAAAAAGTTTCTTTAAAAAAAAAAAAAAATTACTAATTTTCAATAACTACCATACTTTTGTGACTTAAACTATACTTATACTTATACTATACCCTTCCATACTTATACAATATACTGTATTAGGGTTGAACTAGAAAGACTAAAGATTTTGTCCCCATTGGGTTACTCTGCCGATAAAAAAAAACCTTAGCATTATAATCACACATCATTGCTGTCAGTTTCAAGTCAATAAAATAAGGACTCAAGATATTGCTTGGAAAAACAAAATGAACTACACTGAGGCAACATTACTAATTTTCAATAACTACCATACTTTCTGACTTAAACTAAAGCATTTCAAGCATTAGTGTATGAGGCATTGGACAAAACCTTTACAGAAGAATGTAATAATAGGAATAAACCTGACAAAACAATAAGGTATTCTTATCAGGAATACCTAAATAGGGAACAATTACTTACCTTATGTAGACAACTTGTCCGTTGTTGACAACTCTTCTCCATCCGAAGGGTACAACGAGAGGCATAAAATTCTTGTTGTCTGCAGTTGTGTGCACTGTTGGGGTGCCTGCAGGTAAATTTCCACACATGGCATTTACAACTCCTACAGGGCCACCTGAGCATCCCATCATATTGGCATGATTCATGTTAGCACTAGCCATCTTTGTTCCTACAGGTACCATGGTCATGTTACCTTGCATAGCACTGTTCATCATCACTGCTTGCTGCTGCTGATCAGGAATCATAGTTCCAGTCATCATGTGCTGCTGTTGTTGCTGTTGTTGTGGATGATGATTTTGTATCCCCATTATGTTGCCACAGTGGCCACTATTTTGCCCTCCCATCACTAGGTTACTTTGACCCACCACACCTTGCCCATGCCCTGTGTGGTATTGACCACTCATCACATTTAGGTTTCCACCTTGTTGCTGTGCAATATTCATAGGCTGCCCCTGCATCATGTTCATGTTGTGACCTTGCATAGTATTAATCCCAGACTGTCCAGCTACCATGTTCATGCCTTGGCCTGACATCATGTTGACATTTGGAGTACAAGTGTTTTGACCTTGCATGACTTGTCCATGCATTGTATTGCTCCCCTGTCCCTGAACCATCCCCCCAGTTTGCATCATGCATGGCCTTTGCATATTGTTTACACTCATTCCAGGTCCCTGCTGCATCACATTCATATTCTGGCCTTGCACATACTGGTATTGCTGTTGCATTATTTGTAACTGTCCCCCTTGCATTTGCACATGCTGTACTGTATTCACTTGATGGAAGGCCTGCACAATGTTTTGATTGTTGTACACACCTGTTTGATTCACCCCACTCGGATTGTTCCCACCAGATGACTGACAGGCCATGTAGTTTGGGTAACAATTGTAACTGTTTGGATTCATTGTTTGCATATGGTTGTTCATATACTGTGGGTTGTTCATTAGGTTGACTTGATATTGCTGACTGTTACTGAGCTGATTATTTGTTTGTTGTTGTTGCTGATGATGCTGCTGCTGTTGTTGTTGTGTATGTTCCGTTTGACTATCAGAGCTTAAACTGCTGCAACTAGATTCTGCAGTTTCTGACCTCACTGAATCACACCGGGAGCTAGTTCTTGGACGAGCGACTACCATATTATTATTTATCATTGGAGCACTGTTGCAGCTGTTATTGGTCACTATCTGATTATTCATCATCTGAGTGTTACCAATCATTGTAGGATTGCTGCTCATATTTGCATTATTGACTTGCATCATCACACCATTTTGCACATACCCATTCATGGTGCCCATCACATTGACTTGATTTTGTAGGTGTTGTGGTTGTTGTTGATGGTGCTGCTGTGGTTGTTGCTGCTGCTGCTGTGGTTGTTGCTGCTGCTGTACCTGTTGTTGCTGTTGATTTACTGCTCTTGGGTGCTGGTGCTGCTGTTGTAGATTGTGTTGCTGCATTTGTTGTGACTGCTCCGAGGCATGCACAGTAACAGTGGTGACATAGTTACCACCAGGCAAGTATTGCAGCTGTTGTGGTGCCTGACTTGTTGGAAAACAGTTATTGGCTCCATCCAACCCATTCATTTTATTCATAAGGAACTGTTGTTGTTGCTGCTGCTGCTGCTGTTGTTGCTGCTGCTGTTGCTGTAGGCTGTCATTCATCTGCATACTGTAACTAGGTTGCTGCTGTTGGTGCAACGGGTTAGCAACTCTGAAGCCATTGACCATGTGGGGGTTGGTGGGCTTGACCGGATGAGGTGTGATCATGGGACGTTGTGGTCCCTGTGCACCTCCCGGCCCGGCCTGACCACCCCCCTCGCCTGCCACATACACCACCACATTGTGTGGTGGCTGCAGCTTACCACCACCACTCTCTGCTGGTGTTGCTGGTGCCTGGGACATGCTGCACTGACCCCATCTGCACCATCACGGGTCTGAAAAATAAAAGAGATTATAATTATTTTCTAAATAAGAAGAGTGCCAGAAAAGTACACTGTACTGTTAATCAAAACACCATACATGGAACAACACTTTATTTTGTGAAGTATTGTAGGCTATTAGTGTATAATATAATATACTGTATAGTCAATATAATGAGATTTACAGTACTGATAATGTAAGAAATTGCTATGATATATTGTTGTCCAAGGTTAACTAACACTAGAGCAGGTTTGAGCAGCATAAGATGTTGAGGCATACATTTGAATATGGGCAGTATGCTTATGATGTACTTGCTACTACTTGCTTATTCTCTCATAAAAAGACTACAAGTTCCAGGTGGGTGTTATCTTGAGGTTATCTTCAGATGATTTCGGGGCTTAGTGTCCCCGCGGCCCGGTCCTCGACCAGGCCTCCACCCCCCAGGAAGCAGCCCGTAGCAGCTGTAACTCCCAGGTACCTAATTACTGCTAGGTAACAGGGGCATCAGGGGGAAAATCATTTTGCCTATTTGTCTCCGCCTCCACTGGGGATCGAACCCGGAACCTCAGGACTACAAATCCGAAGCACTGTCCACCCAGCTGTCAGGCGGCTGATGTATTGTCAGGCGTCAGGGTGTATCTACTGTACAGAACCAAGTCTGAAGACACTCTGTCACCAGTCTCCAGACAATAACATATATCACTAATTTGTAAGATGATTTCACAAGAATAACTATGTTCAGTATACTTTAGGAGCTTGCCAATTTACATTCCAGAAACCCAGTGTAACCTTTTTTGTTCCATGCCCAACCTGTGCACTTAAAAAGATTTAATGTCCCCTTGGTTGAGGAGCTTCAAAAAAAAAATCTCCATGATCAGGAGACTCTGGAGAACCAAGTTGCAATTTCCCAGCCTATTTAAACCTCGAAAGTCAAACTTGTACAAAAGAATGCAATAAAATGTATGATTTCAATTACAATAGATAAAATATATTGTATTGCAATACAGTAGATACTGAAAAATAACAATAATAAATGACAATACAACAACACCCGCACCCATGGGTGTTGGTGTTTTGCACCTGCAAGATACCGTAAGATTTTAAGGGTTGACGAATGTTAATCTTCTTGTTTGATAAACTGTTCACTCGAGACAGATAAGCAAGTCCCAGCTGTGTCTGGTTACAAGTGACAGGATGAACACCCCAGTGGTTTTCTTCCTATTGGGGAGTGACATGGTGCTATGGCGGTGTGTCCACTTAAAGGATGAGTGGCACTGCCCAATAAACTTGCCCCTCAGGGCAAAACTAAAATTAAATTAATACAACAACAGTAAATGACAATAAATAAAATAAATTTGTTAGAATAAATAAATTCTAATACTGTACATGACATCGAGCTTGGGGCATCCAAAACATAAATTTAACTCGATTCTGGAAAATAAAAATTAATATCAATGTGATCCATGCACTTGGTGTCTGCTGCAAAGCATTTTTGAGGTGGTAATGTGGTTAATTTCAACCCTTTAAGGGCACAATACATATATAGCTGGGGCGAGTAACTATTGCGGGACGGCGCACAACAGCTATATATGGTTGGGAGTACCGCGCAAGATTTAAAAATCCCGCAGCTATATAGGGTTCACATCAGCTTCCTCAGGGCTTCTGCAAACAAACGCCATTTAAAAAAAAATTGTGGGCAACATTCCCAGATGTGAGAGCCTCAGTACTGACTGAGCAACCAAGCCTGGCACACACAGTATGAGCTAACAGCACTGCTGTTCAGCTTGTGACCACAGCATTGCATAAAAATTTAAAAAACATATGTAACTGCTATTATTTAGCGATGATATTATTACAGAAGAGTCTGTGATGAAGACACTACAATGTTCAGATATCAGTGAACACAATTCTGTTCAAGATGTTCAAAGCACTAGGCAGGCATCCACAGCATACTGCCATTGTTTGGTCGATCTAAGAATCTTAAAATGACTTCTCATATTCCTTTACAAAATATACTTGTGTAAAATTATTCATTTACAGGATTTAGTGACCAGGATTCTGATAACAACAGCATTGTGGTGAGAATTAGCATTATGCATAGTATGCTGGGGAAGAGCAATGTTGGTGAGGGAGGTCACGTCATCAGGCAACTGTGGTGGCTGCTATTATTGTTTGGACCTTACAAGCAAATTTACATGGAAAAGAAGAATACAGTTGTGAGAAGTACTTTAAGAATATACAAAAAAAAAAATTCTTCAGCTCAGCAATCACCTCTTAACCCTTAAACTGCACATATACGACAGGTCCCGATGGCACCATAAGTTAAATTGTTCAAACTTGTTCAAACGCTTTCAAATTTTTTGTGCATAATCCACTAGGCAAACACTCCAACTTTGTCTAAATGATCATCAACATAACTTGAAAAACAAGAAAATTAAAAATAATTACCAAATATTGAAAATTTCAGATCAGCTGCAAAAATATTAAATATCACCAATTGTTCATTAAGTATTATTATGCTCTCAGAATAGTATATGATCTTCATTTTAATAAATTTAGAATATAGATTTTCAGTTCAGTTTACTAAAAAAAAAAAATTGTCAATATGGCATTTGAAATATTCACCAAATTCAGACAACCAGCAGCTGAGCAGACAGAACACTGGACGCGTGATCCTGTGGTCCTGGGTTCGATTCCGGGTGCCGGCAAGAAACAATGGGCAGTTTCTTTCACCCTGATGTCCCTGTTACCTAGCAGTAAATAGGTACCTGGGAGTTAGTCAGCTGTCACGGGCTGCTTCCTGGGGGTGGAGGCCTGGTCGAGGACTGGGCCGCGGGGACACTAAAGCCCCGAAATCATCTCAAGATAACCAAGATAGATAACAAAATTTATAACTCAAAACATTTAGAGATTATGAAAAATCCATTCAAATAGGATTATAGAACAGACTGCGGTGCACACTATATGTAAAAATGGTGAGAATCGGCCAGAAACTGGATTTTTTTTAAGCTGACCCAATGTTGAAACTCTAGTTTTAGAGATAGGTAATTGAAGTTGAAGATACAGTATCGACAATGTATAAGGTAGTTCTAATTCATTAATTTACTTGTATGTCTTAACAAACATTGTTTGGCATTCGTGAAATATGTGAAAGTTGTAGGGCAATATGTGTTGAAATGAAGTCAAGAAAAAATAACCCTCCCAAAAAAAAACTAAATATAGGGATAATTATAATAATTATAATAATTTAGGGGATATGTTTAGGGTATACTTTATATAAAAGTCAAAAAGCCCTAATCTGGTCCCCAATCATCAAAACAATCTAAAGAAACGAGGAAAATAGAGTTTGAAATTTGTGAAAAAATCAGCCCAAAAAAATTCAAAGTACAAAGCTGTGCCAGTTATGACTGATTTATTTGTTGACCAATTTAAATCTATCTTCACATAGTTATGGAAGGGTATGCATTCTCCCACATGTAGACGTTACAACAAAATTGCATAATAATAATAATAATAACAAAATCTCCCCTAAAAAAAAAAATTGTGGACATTGGTGAAAGTAACAGGTATTAATTACCACTGGACAATGTATTTGTATGATATATAAAAAATAGAGCATAATAACATACATACTCATTATTATGTGTTACTATCTTGAGGTTATCTTGAGATGATTTCAGGGCTTTTAGTGTCCCCGCGGCCCGGTCCTTGACCAGGCCTCCACCCCCAGGAAGCAGCCCGTGACAGCTGACTAACACCCAGGTACCTATTTTACTGCTAGGTAACAGGGGCATAGGGTGAAAAACTCTGCCCATTGTTTCTCGCCGGTGCCTGGGATCGATCCCAGGACCACAGGATCACAAGCCCCGCGTGCTGTCCGCTCGGCCGACCGGCTCCCGGTAATTATGTATTATGTATTACGTATTATGTAATTATTATGTATTAATATATAATTATGCATATAAATTATAATTATGTATATAATTATGTAGTTATGTATATAATTATGTAGTTATGTATATAATTATGTAATTATGTATTATGTATTACAGTAATTATGTATTACTCAGCAATGCTATAAAGGCACAAGCTGCATATCCACTTTGTGGGCACTTCTAACTACTATTCTTCTTCTTTGTGCATCAGACAGGTGCTTGCATCTCCTTATTACTGCATTATCCCTCAGTTCCAGTTAATAGGAGTTGTTCTCCTTATCAACAAAACGTTCTTCTTTAGAATTTTTTTTTTTAAATCCATTTCTGAAAATATTGGGATTAAACTTTCACAACGCTGAAGCCAATAAGTTGGAGATTTGTTTAACATTTAATATTAATTTTCTCATAATTCAAATATATTTTCACCCAACTCCAGCTTATACCCTCATTTACAGCCCAGGCTGTAGCAGTGTAAGGGTTAAGAAGTCGCCATCAAATGCCTCAACAATCTTTGAGAAAATATCTGACCCAAAATTATAAACTTTTGCAGCAGCTAAAACTTCCTGCAACAGGTACTCTGAGAGAAAACTCTATCAACATCAGAGGCCTGAGACTGTTCAACACGCTTCCACTACACATAAGGGGCATAACTGGCAAACCCCTCACAGTGTTCAAGAGAGAACTGGATAAACACCTCCAAAGGATACCTGATCAACCAGGCTGTGACTCATACGTCAGGCTGCGAGCAGCCGCGTCTAACAGCCTGGTTGATCAGTCCAGCAACCAGGAGGCCTGGTCGACGACTGGGCCGCGGGGACACTAAGCCCCGGAAGCACCTCAAGGTAGCCTCAAGGTAGGTAGCTAGTGACAGTAATGATGACCCACTGGTGTTTGCCACTAACCCATCATTTCCCACATCAAATAGCCAATGACACTGAAAATAACCAGCCACCCTCTCCCACCTGTGCATCGCCACCCTCCAATACATTGCATTGCTATTTCTTGCCATCTTCTCCAGCAATCAGAACTCATCACTTCTCAAAAAGAGCTAACTTTGACCAGCAGGATAAGCCTATTAT